TAATAATAAACGTGCTTTACCACGTAATTGATCCATAACAAAATTACGGCTACCTGTTTGACAATTTGAACAACCTAATCGTTTGAGTATTCTAAAAATACAGAGAAAAAGAATTGTATTTTGTGTCTAAATTTTCAAAATTCGAATTATTCATTTGCAGAAGGGTCAAATATAATTTTGTTTTAAACTACATAGAATAATAGAGTAAAGCATTCTCTATAAAATAAGATATCACCGATTTCTCTACGACATTTTTTCGCTGAGACACAGCAGTTTAATTGAAGGTCAAAAAAAAAGGCTTTTCTATAAGAAATTAGAAAAAAATGACTTTAGAAGCCCCGTACGATAGCTGTATCTCAGCTAGGAAACGTCACAGAGAACTCTGAGATGCCTTATTTTGTAGAGGATGATTTGCTCTATCGTTCTATGTAGTCTAAACAAAATTATATTTATGTACTCTACGTGCTGAAAAACTAGCCTTTTAATTTCTCTATTCGAATCACTATTTGGATTCCTTGTAGCGCTCATGGCAATGGAAAAAAACTCAATAGTTTTGGTATCCACTATATATCATATTCCTCTTCTTAAATTCTTTTTTTTTATTGCATAAAAGAACCTAGAGACATCAAATATGTAAGAACTTGAAACACTTTAAATCAAAGAAATTTATCCATTAGAACGTGGTCTTTCTTCTTTCTGTCGTATATATATAAATCCACCGAAAATGACAAGGATGACTTTTTTTGTAATAAAAATGGCATTTCAAATCTTAGTCTAGCAGCCGTTTGGCTATTAACATAGTTATCAATACCTGACATAAAAAAAACACATATCAACGGATTCGGTTAAAAGCGTTCCATATTCAAAATATTCGAATTGTTAATAATCGTACAGTCTACAAAGTCCAAGAGCCTCTTTGAAATTCCTTAGAGTAGTTCATCAGCAAGACTTGTCAATTTGTAGAGATAAAATTATAGAAAATATGAAGATAATCCATAAAAATGTTGAATAATGTTTCATACAGAGTGGATCATAAACATCTTTACGATAAAATATTTGAAGATCTCCACTCTGCTTGAAAGTATTGGACGGATTTTTTTATCAATGATACAGAAGTGTTCAAAGTTTTTTTTTTATAAGAAACTCGTTAATAGCCACTGTAAGTGTGAATAAGAGTCTAGTTCTTTTATTTTCTGACACCTACATCCTGAAAGACTGCAACAGTGCATTGATGCTAATGAACATCATTTTAACTTTCGGCATAAATGTTATCTTGATTTTTTTCGTTGTTTTCCAACGTCTAAATCATAAAAATATGCATGACCTATTCTTCATTTCTTTTTTTCCGAATCCATGAAACGTTGTGATATGTATTGAAGTGAATGTTGACAATAGAAAACAATGTTTATTAACAATTTTCGTATGAAAAAAACCTATGAAAACTTCTCTATCAATAATAAAAAGTCGACTCAATACTTTCGAGCAGAGTGGAAACAATTAAATTTATTATTGTAAAGGTATTTATGGTTCACCTTGTACTGGGCGTATACTGAACCTGAAGGTACGGCTTCGGCTCTGACTACAGTTATTTACAGCTAATTAATAAGAGGAAGTAGAAGTATACCAATAGAAAGGATGTCAGGGTTGATTATGGTAGATCTACGCGCAGTAAAATAAATGATCCAAAAATTGAAGAGCTACAGACATCTTAAAAGAAAGTCAACAATGTTCAGAAATAGTTGAACCTTAATATGCTCCCCATGACTGCTCCTATAGCATAAGAAATACTTGGACACTCACCTAAGGATAACTCACTCTTTTATTCGACCAAATTCAATTCTAAACAGCTTACTATTACAGAGTTATTAAATTTAAAACATTTTTTCTCGTAGTAATCATATTAAAATTCTTTTCTTTGATTTAGTACTATTAAAACTGTTTGAATAGTTCTCAGATTAGATATATTTCTAATTCATATATTTTCTACCTTAATATAATATCAAGAGCTAATTGAAATTTTTCGTCTTCTATTGCATGAATCTGTTTTAACCATTTTTCAATATGTCCATTTGTTCTTTCATCTGTTGTTGTCATATGATTATTTTCATTAATTGATAATTGTTTTTTATTAATTTCATCTTCTGCTGATGATATAACAGTTAAACCAAATAAAACATCAAGAATATTCATAACTAATTCACAAACTTTTAAATCATTTTCTTTACATATAACAGCATGTATACCAGCTAAAATAATACCAAAATTAATTGTACCATTTCGATTAATATATCCATTTGAACCATTTACTTCTTCAATTTCTTCTAAAAATTTATAATTTATTTCTGAATCACTAATACTATAAGTTTTCATTGTATTTAAATTTGTTATTGTTATAGTTGGAGATATTTTTCTTATACTATTATCTGAATTAATAGATTGATGAATTGTATCTGTATTATTTGATATTGATGTTTTAAATAATAATAAAGTTGGATCCGTTAAATGAAAACGACTACTTTGTGATGATGATGATGATGATACATGAAAACTATTCAGACGATCAGTACTAGCTAAATCTAAATGTTCAATAGTATCTTCATCAATATAACGAATTTTACTAGAATGAAAACAAAAAAAAAAAAAGAACCAGAAACATAAAATTTTAATATCAAAACAAAATAATGAAAATAATTTAATTACTTTCTTGTTAATAATTGTTTTTCTCTTTTTTGTGTATAAAAAAAAAAGAAAAAATTATAATTTAAAAAAAAACAAATTTTATACCTTATTTTTTTATAAAAATTATTATTATATTTTTGATTATCTTTTTTATTAAATGAAAATTTTTCAGAAAAATATTGAAATGGTATATTTAATAATTTAGTTGATTGTTTAATTGAATTTGATATTGTAGTTGTCATACATTGTTGTTCAATTATATTATGTGTTATTTGTTCATTAAAATAATTATTTTCTAAATATTTATAATAATTATATTTATTTAATGTATTTATTTGTGGCATTGAAAGACTATTAAAACGAATAATATGTATTGGTAATATACCAGTTGTTAAAGCATTAGATAAAATTTCATCTGATATATTAATCATACGTTTATGTAAATATTCTAAACACCATAAATAACCATCTGTTAACCATGATGGACTAAATAATGTTCGTATTATTCCAATATCAAAATAAGTTGCTAATAAAAGAAATTCTGAAGTATGTGCTTTAGATGATGAACCTATATCAGTTGAATAATTATGTGAAATATTTGGTAATTGTTGAGAAGAAAGAAAATGTAAAGGTATTGATGGTGTTGAAATCGATGTTGGCATACCGGAAATTGTTTTAGATATATTAGCAACTACAATGAACATTTATACATCATGAAGAGTTATGATCGGGTTACTGAAATTTTTATTGAGAACTACTCGTATCTGGAAAAAATCAAAATGACGAGTTTTGACTTGAAATTTTGTCTATAAATAGATTTAATAGTCATTAGATAGTCCTGAAAGCTGCAACACAAAAAGAAGATATCTTTCTCAAGATATTCATTTTCCAAATAGACTGAATTATTATATCTTCCTATGGTAAATCGTAATTTTTTTGGAAACTGAATATTTCGAGAACGACATGTATATTTTCGTTGAAACTTTCAAGACTATCTAATGATTGTAAAATCTATTTGTAGAAGAAATTTTAGGCTAAAATTCTCCATTTCAGTTTTTTTTTAAAATGAGTAGCTCTCAATAAAAAATTCAGCACAATGAACCATGAGCTCGAACCCTTCAAGACTTTCTCTAACCTAAATATAACATATCGAATGAGATATGAATGAATCAAATCGGATCTTGACACCTCAGATACTTTCCTCGTAAGAGATACAGCAAAACAGTATAGCTGTAGTTAGAAATGTAATAATAACAGTGACTGAATGAAACACGAGGAAGACTGATTTTTGAATTTCAATTTGAAACTTTGCATAAAAACAGGTTTTAACGAAACTAGTTTTTTGTTGATGTTTCAGGTCTTTTGATTTGTTTTTGTCGTGAAATTAGAACATAAAATCTGCTAGTTTATATGAGTAAGATAAAAGGCATGCTATTACCATAATTGTATCTTAGAATAGGTGCAGCGATAAGCCTTGAAACATTCACAAAAAAAACTATTCTCATTAAAGTCTGTCCCTACGTAAAGTTTCAAGTCAAATTTCAAAAATCAGTTCTTCTGATGTTCCTGAGAGGAACAACGATATTTATTTAAAAACTCTCATAAAAGTGCAGTATCTCTTCAGCAATGAGCTAAGAGTATGAACTCTTTTTTTTTTAGAGTATTCATAACTCATTTGAATCTTTATAATGCACATCGTCTGAACTCAAAAGCAATCAAACAGTTGGATGACTTCCCTTGTAAGAGAGATGAGTATGCGTAAGATGATTTTATCTCAAAAAATTTACAACCATATGTCTTTGGGAATTTTTTGTAAAAATGTAAAATATTTCGAATAGGACTTCACATGCAATGGGATAATTCTATCGCATTCTATGATATGAGATTATCATTTTTCTTTCTAAATGCATTTTATTATTTTGAAGTTCAATGATACTGAAAATTTTTGAGAACTAACTATCTCATTCCATCCCACGTGGAATCCTAATCTCGAAGTAAACAGAAACTTCATCGTTTATTTCTAGCTTTGTTTTCACGGATGTCTATACATAAATTACTATCATTTCATTATGGTTATTTCTCGTTATATTTTCTACATTTGTAACTTTCAGATTTAAAGTTTAGTATCAAGAAAATAGTAAAATCTCTTGAACAGACTATTTCACTCATAAAATTTTGAAGAAGAGGATTTTGTTGATTCTATCACTCAAATATTGCAAAGATTTGCTGTTTTATATTGAAGTCAATCTAATGTTCTATTATTGAAAAAATTCATTCAAAAACTTTTAATTAGTAATTTAAATAATAAAAAATAAATAATTTCAACCTGGACTTTGTGGTGTTGATGTTAATCGACTTAAATCCGACATTGAACAAATCGAAGTCATATTTGCAAGTGGTGCTCGTTTTTGTCTATTATTATTTGTTATTTCATCAACAAAAAGATCCGTTATAGAATTATATGTTGTTGTTGCTGTTGTTGGATTAGAATCAGTAAGTATAGATGATATATTTAATTTTTGTTTTTCTTCAATTTTTATTTCCGATTGAAAACAACTTGTATTTCTTGTTTTATGATATTTAATTGGTGGATTTATCAATAATTGTTTTGTTAAATTAGATGAATATTGTTTTTCAGATAATGATCTTTGTATAGATGATTGAATTAAAGTTGATAAACGACGATGTTGATTATTATTATCAATAGAAAATTTTTGTTCTTGTTGATTATTTTTTAATATTATAGGTTTAATAAAAGCATTAAATAAATGTATATTTGGTTGATGATATTCAAATAATGGTTGCCAAATAAGATGCATACCTTGAGAAAGATCAGAATTTGATAAGAATTGTTTTTCCTTATTATGAATATATGTATGAATATATGGAATAAATAAATAAATAAATAATTGTATTATATTTAATGATAATAATTGATCAGTTGTTTCATTTGAATGTAATATAAGATAATGTAATGTATGAAAAAGACGAATTTCTGTTGAATTTAATACTTGATTAGTTATTAATGATAAGCGATTAGATAAATATGATTGATTTAATTGATATTCAGTTGAATGTATTGTTGGATGAAGAGATATTGATAATTGATGATTAGGTGGAACTTGAAGTTGGTTTGAAAATATTGAAGAATGTGATGGTGATGAAGCAACAAGTAATGATGAACGAGTCGGAGAAAATGATTGTTGTTGATGTTGCTGCTGCTGCTGCTGCTGAATTGAACAAAGATTATGTTGAATTACTGATGAACATGCATGTATTACATGTGGAAATGCCTGGAAAAAAGAAATAAGAAGAGATAATTTTATTAAAAAAAAAAAGACTAACTGCTTTCACTAACAACCATCTTGGAATACTTGATATAGCATCAGTGAGAGATGGTGATAAACCATGTAAAATATTTTGAACAAGTACTTGATCAAAAATCTATATAAATAATAGAAGAAAAAAAATTCTTTTTGTTTTCGTCATTAAATGAATATTAATATTATATTTACAATAGCAGATGCTTCAGTTAAATTACCAAATTTTTGTTTAAGAAATGGACTAGAAAATATATTTAATATATTTTTGATTTTTTTAAAAGGAAAAATAAATCGTACTTGCTTTGTCGCCATAAAAATATTTGTATTGAAACAGGAATAGTATCTTCAGAATCCGATGATGAAGAAGATTTACGTATAATATCATGATGACAAGTTGAAATATTTTCAAAATTTCCATTTAATACTGTAGTTTGTAAACTCCGTTTAGGCATTTGAAAGAAGTAATCTACGAAAAAAAAAAAAAGAACAGATTTGTTATCAATGCAGAACATATTTTATTTCATAATTAAAAAAAAAATATTAATTAAACAAAAGCAGATTAAGATTCATCATTTATCTACTTATTAATAATATGAATTTGAGAAAAGAAGAATATCATCTTGCATTATTACAGAAACAGTATTTCATTCTAATTTTATGTAATTAATTTTTTTTTTTGAATTATTCAAAATAATACATTTAAAACTAAAGTGAAAAAAAAGAATCATTAAGAATTTTTACGAGTTTAAACATTTAGTTTTATATCTAACGAAGGAATATTCCTTGATATTATTTAACTTCTAAGTCGAGACTATATGTATCATGTAGACTCTAATAAATTATGAATATTCCCAAAAGACTTCGTATTTGAAGTTTCTTTTCGGTGAGATATCGACTTTTTAGTATGTATTTTCTCTAGTATCTAACATTAGTAACAAACTTATATTTTCGAATTTTTATTTTAAACTTCATTTATATAAAGATCTCAACTAGATCAGCTTGCATAAAAAAAAATTCCAACCTTTTTAGATAAAGTTCCTCCAAGATATGAAGCTTTCAAAGAATACATGCTGTATTTACTATCTATGGAAAAAGCCTCTACTTTAAAAAGTTCACACCTTACGTGTGAACCTCTCCAAGTGTCAAATCACTTTTCAGCTGAGACGATGTTCATTTGATGAATACTAGTAAGTAATAGAAAAATCTAGAACATTTTAATTTTCTGGGTCATTATTCTTGAGACATTGAAATTTTGCTAAATTTTTCAATTAAAATCTGTGGTCTCATGAAAAATCGACACTTTTGACTTCAAACTTTACATGAACAAAGTTCTTAATGAGATTAGTTGATTGTGTATCTAGTATTTCTTTTTCTGTAGATGTAAGTATATGAATAAAATTCACTTTTACATATGAGAGAATTCAGAAAATTTAATATCTCAAGATAGGACATACTAGAAAAATTATAGTTTTTCCAATAAACTAATCTCATTGAGAACTTTTGTTCATACAAAGTTTGAAGTCGAAAGTCAACTTTTCATTTGACTACAGTTTTTTGTTGAAAAATCCAATTAAACTGCAATATCTCAAGAATGAAGTCACGGAAAATCAAATCATTCAAGGCTTCTTTATTACTCATCAAATGAACATTGCTTCGGTCGAAAAGTAATTTAACACCTGGAGTAAAGGTTCACTTGTTTGATAGACTTTGTCCAAAATTTCTGAAACTCAATACCCTACCAAGAACAAGTTATAAGCACGTACTCTTTCTAGAATATTCATAGTTTATTAGGACTTACATGATATACATAGTCTTGACTCAAAAACATAATACTATCTGAAAATATTCCTTCGTAAATAAGAATAAATTATTATTATTATTATTAATAACCAAAAACAAAAGAAATCTATTCATCTTACGCCGCTCAAGGCTATTTTTTTATTTTATTCATCTACAAAATAAGAATATAATAGAAACATCAAAAAGAAAAAGAAGAAGAAGCAATCTATTATATACATTGATTTTTGTTTAGATCTATATAGTTCTCATGATGAGCGAGAAATATATTTATTGAATATGTCAGTTTTCTTTTTCTCCTTTGTTCAAAGGAAGACAAAGTCATGTAATGTTAGAAAAGATGATTTATCAAAAAAAAAAAACAAAAAAATACTCAACATATTTAATATATCAAATCAATGTACTAATATTAACTTTTCAAAAGACATTAAAATTAAACTAAATATTCTCTTTTCTAAATTTTATAATAAAAAAGTTTTTTTTTTTAAATTTACCTTTTTATGAATGACATACAATGAGTCTAGTAATTATAATAGGTACATATATATATATTCTGACATAACATGCTATCATATTAATTTATATTTGAATATGATAAGTAAAAAGTAAGATTTCTTAAGAATAAACTTCTTTTTTTTTTTTTGTTTTTATTTATTTGTTTACAATGTAATAAAATAGGGGCTAAATATAGATGATTTCCATTAGTAAATTAAATTCATGATTATAATTAATTTGATTATGTGAAGCAAAAAAAAAAGCTTTTACTCAAACATCTGAAGAATAGTGAAGATTTTTATAATGACAAACAATATTTGAATAATAAAGAATGGTCGAAAAGTTTCGATCTTATTCAGTAAATCGATGATATCTATGACAAATCTATATATAATTAATCGATCGAAATATGTGTAATTTTGTAGAAGAAGATTAGAGCTATCATCTGAAAATAAAAGAGATACTTTGAAATATATCAATGTAATACAATATGATGATTATTTTACTAAACTTAAATAAATATTTTCATCTTATATCTTTTGAGAAAAATTTAAAAAAATTTTTTTTTTTAAATAATAGTTGGATGTTCTTTTTTTTGCTCACAGAGATTTGTTATCAGACTTATTCATTTTAATGAAATAATATTTATCATATTGGCTAATTATGATTATAGTTTTATAATATTTTATATTGTTAACGATTTTCATATTGACAATCTTATTATATGAAGTTTACTGTTTTCAATTTAGTCACTAATAATAAGCGATTAGAAACTTTTTAGATAAGATCTTTGTTCACTTTTGATTCACTAGAAAGTATGTTCCATGAATTAGTATTACAATTTTGTGCACATTTTGAATATGGGCTCAGAAATTTTGTCTCAATTTTTATTCAATAGTAGTGAAATCATTTTTGAAAAGTCCAAAACATTCGTTTGGATAGAAACTTTTTTGTTATTTTTACAATTGCGATTCGTAATTAAAATTTAGGATTTTTATTTATATATTAATTTGTAGATCAGAAGCTACTCTACAAAATGCATTACTTTAACTGTTCTTTTGTCTTTCGACAAGGCACCGTTGAAAGGAGGTCTAGAAAAAAAATGCTTCTAGTCTTACTTGTATAAAAAGCTACAGCTTAGTTCAATGTTACACTTTGTATAGAAGTGTCTACTCTACAAAACGACTGACGCCGACAATTTTCAGTATGTTCAACAAAGGACTTCGAGGGTAAACCAAACTTGAAACACAAATAGATACAACAGTTCTAAGTCCATATTCGAAAACGAGTACAAAATTCTAATTAGTTCTAGCTCATAGTTTTTGACTTGTTGGAAATACTTTTCTCGCGGAACAATAAAAATATTCCAATCATTTATTATGTCAGTTGTTTGGATTTATTTTTCCGATAGTAGTATTTAAAAAACTTCTAGTATTAATTTTAAAGTCGAATAGATGATATATGATTAATAAAAAAACGTGTGAGATATCATTCGATAAGATTTAAATAATTATGAACTTAATTCATGATATGACATCAAATAAAAAATTATTGATGTATGAAAAAATTTTTGCATGTAGAAAAATGTGAGAAAATAATTAACAGTATTTCAAAAAGGTTAAAAGTAATCGTCCAAAAACAAGGAGTCAACTTATCATAAAATTTGATTATTGGTATTTATACAAAATGTCAATGTGATAAACTTATAAAACATTTCGGTATTTTATTGAAAAAAAAAATTCTTTTTTTTTTTTCTCTCAAAAAATGTAGAATGAAAATATTCACTTAAAATTAGTAAAATAATCATAAGATTGTACTACATTTATGCATTTCGAAATATCTTTTTGTTTTTTTAGATTATAACTCTAGTCTTTCCCTACAGAATTACATATTTTGATCAATAAACCGTAAATAAGTTTATCATTGATTTACTGAGAGGAATAGAAATTTTTCGATTATTCTTTATTAGTTTATATTGCATAATGAAAGAAAAATTACATATGTCATATATCACTATGAATTACTTCAATAAAGATTACAAATTGAACTGCAATTGACAAGTATTTTCAGACATGTACTGATATATGTCACGATATTTTATCATGAAGAATTTCTTTTGACATTTTTGTCTAGATTGGAATAATGTATTTGGCACAATCATTTTTTTCTATCTATCTTGTTCTATTAATCAGTTTTGTTATATAATACATCAAACAATTTTTTAAGCACTTTTTCAAATAGATCCAATTTTTATTTCTTTTATAATTATGAAGCAGCCATATTTTCTTTTTTTTTTTTGTTAAATAATATTTAATAACAATAATAATTGAATTTTTATCAATATACTACGAAAAATTTCTTTTAAAATCATACTGCATTTTTATTTATGATAAACTAATATTTCATATAAAGTGTTATTCAAAAAATTTCATTAATAAAAAAAAAAAAAAACAAAATTATTTAAAAGGAATGTAAATAGAATTCAGATCGAAAATTTAGATAAATACAACAGATATTAATGTTTAAAAAAATCTCGAAAAGAAAAAATCTCAATTTAAGAATATATACATCATTCAATAAGAAGGAAAATATCTTTCTTCTTAGTCACGAAATACTAAATAATTCTTCAATCGATCTATCGTTATCAAATAAACCTAATGATTACATAAAGAAATTACAGGAGATGCTTGATGCTTTAATACCATTAGTTTCTGTTAGTATCAAAGTAAGAAATAAAATCGGTCATTACTATAAATTCCTGATATGTTCATCGGTCTGTAGCAAATAGAGATGTCCCGAGATCGTCAAATTCAGAAAGATCAAGCGATTTTTCAAGATTGGGAAGTCACTCCTTCTTGAAAATGTATCTATATTACTTCCTAATGTAATTTTTTTTAACCGGGACTATATGCATCACACATACTCTTAATAAGAAGACGATTAAGTTCAAGGATAAAAGTGTCTACTACATCTTTCTTGAGACTATTATGAGTAAAAACCTTATAGTTTAGAATTTTTCTTCATTTCAAATAGAAAAAAAACAACTAAACAAATCTAAAACTTTTTTTTACAATAAACTGTTCTCATATAGACTTATCTGTTAAAATGTTGAATTACTGTTTTTCTACTAAAATTATTGTAAAAAAAAAAAAACTCGATATCTCATAAAATGAAAATCTTTTCTAATTGATTCATAACTTATCAAAAGGTCTATACACATAATCGAATATGAGATATATTCTTTTCGAGATATTTAAACATAATACACAATAAACAGTATATACAAAAAAGTTCGTTTTATATTTTCTTAAGCATTTGGATTAAGTTTTGGACGTGGTTCATAGAGAATACTTGAACTATCATCATCATCTGAATCATAAACACCAGTTGTATCATTCAATGGTGTACTTTTCATACCACCATATGAATAACGTGATGCCATTGATTTTGTATGTATAATACGTTTTCTATCATCAGCTTCATCACGTAATTGAATAAATTCTTTTCGATTTTGTTGAAATACAAATATCATATAAACACCCATAAATACTCCAAATAAACTCATAAATATATTTTCCCAAAATCCACGTCGATACCAATATTTCATTAATGGACCACAACCACGTGTATTAACAATTTTTGGATCTGGATTAATTAACATATTTTTACCACAACTAAAAGTTCTTTGATACTAATTAATAAAATAAAATTTAATTAAAGAATAATAAAAATAAAAGACAAACTTTATGACAACATGTATCAGGTAGATCAGTTTTATATGAAGCTGCATAATCAAGATAAGAATTCCAACCACAACAATTAAAATCTCTTTGACGTCTCAAAAAAAAAAAGGTTTTTTTTGTTTTATTTTTAAAAAAGAAAAATTCTCTTTATTATTCATTCTTACTGATTAACAAATGCAGTTAAAATAAAAACACGTGGTGGTACACGACCCATTGTTACCAAATGAAATGCTTGTTCACGATATTTTAATTCTTTAAAAGCATTACCTCTAAAACGAAGTCTTTCAAGTAAAAATGTTTCTTTTGTTAAAAATCCAGCATTCATATTTATCATTGTTACAGCAAACCAAGCTAAACCACCAAGTATTGTTATTATAGCTAAAACAAATAATGAATATGGAACATATTGCATAAGAAATATATTTCGACGACGATAAGCATGAATTTGTAATGCAATAACTAAATTTAAGAAAAAAAAAATTCATTATTTTATTTTAACTATAAGACTTTTTTTTTTGGATTATACTTGTAAGAAGAACAAAACCATATATAAAAATCAATGAAAGATAAGCACGAGTTATTGTTAAACGATCCCAATAAAAGATAAAAAAATTAAATTCAATCTAAAATAAGTAACAATAAAGATTTAATTAATTTCAAAAAAATTTATCATACCCAAGCCATTGTATAATCAGTCCATATTGTCCATTCTTCAAAGAAACCCCAATAGATAGACATTGAAACGATAATAAAAATGGCAAAAGCTAATAAAAAGCCATTTATACCCATGAGAAAACGATATTTGTTCTAAAACAAAAATAAAGTTCAAATATTTTCTCTTGAAAATTGAGCACTAGTTCATACTCGTTGACGTTGTCCATAAGTAGCAACCATTTTGAAATTAAATTTAATTGAAATGAAAACTATTACAAGATCACACACTTGAAAACAAGAAACTGTCGAATTTGACAGTTAACTGCAGAAAGGAATAAAATTATAAATGTTACCTTGACTAAAAAAAAAAAGTATAGGATGACTAATGATTTTTACATTTGTTTATGTATAAATTATTTCGATCTTAGTAAAATTAATTTTCTGAATTTTATTATTAAATGATTTATTGGAGTTATTTTATTAGAAAATTTATTATAAGAATATTACATAATAATCAAGGTTCTTATATAATACTGTATCTGAGTGCCATCTATCGTGAAACATTATTTGAGAAGATATTTTCTTTAATCTAATCTTCAGATTTTAACAACTTGCAGGTAAATTCTCTAAAACATAGCCGATATTTACAAAAAAAAGAAATTCGTCAAACATTACAAAAGAAATATTAAAATAGTAAGAATTTGCGACATATTTTAACACCTATTCATCGTTACCGAAATTCAGCGACAATCTGATGATCTATAAAGTGATATATCAGTAAAGGAAACTGTTAGCGTAATCTCTGGAGAATTTAAATATGAAAACACAATGGAACTATTTAATATTGTAAACAACACCCTTAACTAACAAATGTTTCAGTTTGTGAATTAATGCCTACTGCTAATACATATCGATGATGGAAGATGTTGAGTGTAACATGTTACAGTGAGTGTGACAGAAGATCAAAGAAGTGGTATTTTAAATTCATTCGTATTTATCACTGTAATCCTGTCTGTGAGGAGTGAGTCCAAATTTTGACTTTTATACTTCAACATTTCTTCTCGATCGTATTTCACAATAATCATTTATATACGTTACAACAATTGAATGAATGTATAACGAACGTTCACTCATGAAAAACGGATGGTGCAAAAGTTTTGCATTAATTTTGTTGTTACTATAGCATGACAGCAACTCATTGTTGAGACTTGATAGTTTTCCTGTTAGAAAGATCAAAGCCTCTACTACAAAGCTATGTAAAAATATTTCGTTCAAAATATGAAGACTGAAAAGTTTTAAGAACATAATTGACTGAAAAAGTTCGTCGTATTTTCTGTCTTTCGTCGAGTTTTCTAGCGCTACAATAGGGTATTGTAAATAGGTAAAAATAATATTTTCAAGTCATCGATTGAGTTCAAAATCGACATTTTTCTAATGACCTTTGTTAGCGAAAAGTATTCACAACTAATAAGCGATTTCCAAAACTCCGGCAATCAAAGTTAGTTGAACTCCATATTTTATGTCCAATTAAAGTTTAATGAGCCTCTTAGAAAAGTACATTATATAAAACAGAATACAGTTTTTCTATTAGGTATTATGAGAAAAACTTCATTGAGCGTTGTCGAGGAGATAGAGCTCATCAAGTTGGTCTTGGATTCGGATCAGAAAATTTTTTGAATATTGTGATACTACTAGAAAGCTCACATCGCATTGGTTATACTCACATAAAGCGCGCCTAAAAATTTCGAAAGCAGAGTGCAAGACAAATCCATCTAATGCACTTCTCATCATTGATTTATTTTTACAGAGTTTTCTAGTAGAGATTTTGCTCTTTTTAACAAAAAAACACTTAATGTAGAACTTTTGCAGTACTTACTACTGGCAATAAATTAGTTTCATCAATACTTAGTATAGCTCTACAAATCCATAATTATACGGCTAACATTTTGTTTTTACATATTTTACAAATTTCCATGTTGTTTATTAATAAATTCATTCGTGAATTTTTGATTATAGAAAAACTTGTTTAAATAATAAAACAACATGAAGAATATTTATTTATTCTTGTTTAGATTGAATCAGTCAGAAAGGATGCATAAAAAAGTACAATTATGTTATAAAGATAAACAAAATGTCACCAATCCATAATACAGAAAAAAGTTTTCAAATTACAAAAACGGAATATTGAAACCAAAAGAAAGAATAGAAAAATAATATCATCTAAACACAATTAAATATTCACCATAAGCTTGAGCATCGTGATAAGTAACAAACATTGTTCCTCCACCTGTCGTATCAAAACCTGGTGGGCAAACACGTGTTGATTGACTTCCTGCAGTTGTCTGGCCAACTAAAACACGAGCTAAAAAAAAAAAAAGAAAGAAATCAATTAATTTAATAATTGAAAATATTTTTATAGAATTCTAGATAAATATTTATTCAAACTATTTTCTTTATGAATGAATGGATACTCATCCCTTTGTTTTTCCAATATGATCGAAATTAAGTTTTGATAAATGAATTAATTAGAGAAAATATAGAAAATGAATTCTTACCCATAAACATATGTCTAAGATTGTTCGAATCTGGTTGTGTATAACTAAGACTTGTACTAGCGTGAGTTGCAAAATAGATACCTTGACCAGCAGCTAAACAAATCATGAAATGAGAAAGAACATTAATATTTTCAGTCTATCTACTCACCACAGCGAACTGCATGACTACGATTAAAGCAATCACTAATAATTGCGTCGACTGATTGGGATTTGCATCCTATTTTGTTCAAATATGAAAATTAACATATGAATAAATTGATCATTTACCATGAAACAACCATTGTTCTGTACTTGTACCATACCTTTCAATAAAATCATCTTTATGAGCATCATACTGACGATACCAACCTGTAAAATCAATGTAGAATAGATAAAAAAGTTCGATAGGAAACATTATTTTTGTTATTAGTAAATTAATTTCGTTCATAAAATAAAGTTTGTATGTATACATGTGAACTGTACTTACGTCGATTTTGAATTCGTTCAATTTGAACAATTTGATTTGATGGTAATGTCTTGTGAAAATTATCTGCAACAAATTTATATTCTTCTGTATTAGGTTGAAGAATATAACGAGAAAGATTATGTAGTGATGATTGATCCCAATAATCTGGAAGAGGAAAAATGCCGACCGCTCCCTATTCATGTAAAGCATTTTAGTTTTGTTTGAATAAAATAAAAACATTAAAATTTATTTACTGCTGAAAATGATGCAGCTTGTTTACGTTGGCATTCAGTCTTTTAATATAAAAGTGTACTGTCAGATTTAGAATATCAAGTTACATAAAAGAAAAACAAGAACAAACTTGATGGGCTTCGAAATCTTGAAAAGGAAAAGATTCTTTACAAATTTCACATGGAATAAGAATATCATTTGATATTAGTGCATTTTGTCTAAAGATTAAATATCGTTAATAATGAAATTAGATATAATTACTATTATTGTACCTGATTCGATTTTCAATTCGTTGTTTCTCAGCTTCTTGACATTGTTCCTGTAATAAATAAAAAATATAGATGAAATAATCCGAATCAACAAACTTTCCGAGCATGAAAATAGTCAGTAATAGTGGCAAAATACAAAGTTTAATACTATTGTTATATCTAAGAAAAGCAAATCAGCTACTATACATTAGAGAGCTGTGGGTCCGGGTTCACATTTTCGTGAATCGCCAGTTCCCTAGTGAACAGCAAGAAATAACTGTACGTTGATTTTTTTCTAAGAGTAGCCAATAAATAGTTAAAACCTTGATGCTTCCCTTGTTCATGTACACAGAGCATGGCAGATATTGGCGGAAAAAAACTCAGGTTTGGATCTGTGAGATCCAGGTCAACAAAAAGAAGTGCACCCACAGCTTTCTGCTATGCATACCTATTTTCTTATGACTCAAAGCGAACTAATATCGTGGAACAAGGTTTAACAACAACATATTTTTGATTCTTTTTTTTTTATAATGTTAAACACCTAGCTCAAACCCAGATAATGAGTTTAATAGTGAATGAAGTTTTCTATCTAACGCACTCTATACCAATATTTCATAGATGAATTATGATGGTATACGGTAGTTTTCAGGTTCTACAAGATTAATTTTTTACAATGCAATTTTAAAGACCACAAAAGGAGAGGTTGCCGCATTTTCTATGATTTTTTTTTAAAAGTCAAAAATATTACAATAATCATAAAACGAAATTTATCAAGAAATGTCTTTTTCGGTTTTTGTCATACGTTTAATTATTTAAGGGAAGGTCGTAGAAAATGTGATGATCGTTCATTTTGTTAAGAATTTTGTGTTCCATTATTAAAAGATAGTCTTCTGAGATCTGAAAATTGCCGTGTGTCGTTATAGTTCATCTATGAAATCTTGCTGTAGGATACATTAGATAGAAAACTTCATTGACTTTTGAAATCACTATTTGAATCTGAGGTAGGTATTTACCATTATAGAAAAAAAAAGTCAAAAATAGGTTGTTGTTGTTGTTAAACTTTTTCACTACCTTATTTCTTAAAACACAATAAAATTTAACTATTGAAATATTAGTTATATCGACAATCTATTTACCGTATGCCACGACCAGTCCTCTATATTAACTTGATCACCACAATATTCACATGGAATAAGTGCATCCATTGATACATTTTCATTACTAGTAAACATCAAACAATCAAA